GGACTTGGCCTTTAGATCGGCACAGAGCAGGCATCACCAGGGACCTTACTTTTTTAGAACTTTTTCCAATAATAGGAGCCTTGTGGCTATGGGCTAACTCTGTGGTCACTTTCTGGTGCGATAACCAGGTGGTGGTCCACATTGTTAACTCATTGACATCTAGGTCGTAGAGAGTGATGATGTTAGTGAGGGCCCTCACGTTGAGGTGCTTACAGTACAATATAGATTTCCAAGCTCAGCATGTCCCTGGGACTGATAATGTCATCGCTGATGCCCTGTCCCGTCAACAGATGGACTGGTTCAGGCTGTTGACTCTGGGGGTGATGGCCCATCAGGACATCCTACCAGATGAGGTATGGAATCTAGGAGGGCAGAGGCTAAAAGGGCTATAAGCTTGGCAGTAGTTCCAAGCACCCGCCATAGTTACATGGTGGCGTGCAATGAGTATTTTGCCTTTTGTGATAAGGAAGGTCTTGGGCATGAATGGCCTGCATCAGATGATCAGTTGATGCAGTTTGCAGTTTACCTATACAGAAAAGGTTTGGCTCCTAGATCCATTCAAGGCAGAATAGCAGCTTTGGCATTTTATGCCAAGACCCAAGGTTGTAAAGGCTTCTCAGTTGATTTCCGTATTTGGAAAATGACTGAGGGGTGGAGTAGGGAGTGAGTTGTGCTCAGTGATGATTGTACACTGATATCACTGGTTATTCTGGTCAAGTTAGGGAGGACTTGGGAGGTAATGTGTAGGGACCAATTTGAAGTTCATCTTTTTAGAGCTGCATCACTTATAGCATTTTTTGGCACACTGCGGATAAGTGAGCGCGTGGCTGCATCCAAAAATGACATATCTCCGTCCTCTTTGCAGAGGAAGGATGTGGTACTGTCAGAGCATCAAGTTGCTATACACTTGCGAAGATCCAGAACTGACCAGTTGGGTAAAGGACAGGTGCTGCTTCTAGGACAGTGTTCTGAGGTGGACATCTCTCCTGTAAAAGCTACATGGGAGCTTTTGCGCCACCAGAATGAGTCACTGCTAACAAAGTACTAATTCAGAAGGTTACATCCCAAGCCTTACCCAAGGCTGGGATACATGGTTGGTGCTTCGGGACTCATTCTTTTAGAATAGGTGCTGCATCTACAGCAGCAGCCCTTGGTTTTGCAGTGGAAGATATTAAGAAGGTGGGCAGATGGTTCTTGCAGAAATACCAGGCTTATGTTCGCTCATTGCCACAGTTTTAGGTTCTGCTGCATTGTTGTTCTGTTTGTCATTGCAAATCCGGAGAAACCCTTGGCACGAGTTTGAGTTCTGTTGTGTGGGCACAGTTACATATTTTGGGCAGCCAGACATGCCAGTTGGACCAGTTGGGGTCGCAATTTGGGCCTTGGAGAGGTGGCCGCTTTGGAATGTAAGGGAAGGAGAGACATGTGCTGGGACGGGTTCATGGAACTGGCAACCCAGTGCATGGTGGATATACCCCCTGACGTTTTGGTGATACATTTGGGAGCAACGACCTGGCCCAAAGGTTAGTAAAGTTGCTGGTCCTCCAGGTGATAGCAGATCTCAGGGCATTTGTGGCACACTGCCCCAAGACAAGAATATTATGGTCAGAGATGATTCCGTGTATGGTGTTGAGAGATGCACATGATCCCACAAGGATTGATTAGGTTCAAAAGGATGTTAACAGAGAAGTGAGCAGAGCAGTATGGCAATGCCTGGCATTGATGGTTGAACATCCTCTTATTAGAGTTTCTCGGCCTGAGTTATACAGGGAGGATGGTGTGCATCTGTCCAAAGCCTGAACATATTTTTAAAAGATCTACAAGCGGGTCTTAGAGCTGAATTGTTTCAGTTTGGTGGGGGCATGGGACATATTAAGTAGTCCCTGTGCCGTGGCAGGTAGTGCAGAAGGCTAAGGGTTAGTCATTTCCTAAGAAAGCACATAGAGAGTGCTAAACACCCCTCGTCTCGGATGGGCAGCATCAGAGCTTTAGTTGAGAGGAGGGGAACCTGGGACCCCAGGGGATGTGGAGCAGAGAGGGTTTGAGACCCGGATGGCGCAAACTTGGGGTACCACAACTATGTGATACACGGAAGCGTGCTGTACGGTAAGACAGCACGCTTTCATATAGGTGCTTGATGGGTGATCTGGACCGGAAAGTCAAGGTTGACTCCAGTTATAGACCAACTCTTTTGCACTATGGTACGCCCCCTTGTGGGAAGGGAAAGTTTTGGGTTATAAATAAGTTAACATAGTTGTGGCCCTAGTTATCCCATATGCCTGTGTCTATCTCCGGGCTGGGTGGGCAAAGGAAAACTTTGGTGTGGGTATGAAAAACAATTTTTCTCGAACAATTCCATAGAGGATTCCCTACTTTGAGTTAGCTTCTACTTTTCCTGTTCAATAATCAAAAGGACTATAATTAATTCTGCTTCTTCTCAAATCTCCTGTGTTTCCAATTGCTGTATAGTAAGCTCATAGCAATTATTCTGACAAGACCTTAAATTCACCCAGTATTATTTGTAAGGGGGAGAGAGGAATTAGAAAGTAGGAAGGATGCACTAATATACCAGTTTTGGACACTCTTGGATTCAAACCTTACTGGAGCAACTTTCATTCCTATCAGATGCTATAACCACTGGGACATGGATGGTTGTCATTGAATAAAATAGAATGTAACAATTGAGTTGAACACGTATTTAAAGGGAACAGATAGGATTATATACAGATAATGACGATTTTACAGATCAGTCTGCTGATACTCTTTCCTCAAACTGTATGCGAGATCAATCTCAGCAGATGTAGAGTCTGTCATCCACATCTTCCACCTCACCTCTACCATCTCCGAGGAGACCTCACCCTTGGCGGCATTGTTTCTCATGGTACCTTCATCTCCAGTTCAGTATCATTCCTGAACAAACCACCACCACCATCACTTGAAAACCTAATGTAAGTACATTTTTCTATATGTTGAATTAATCCTATATTTTGCCACTAAAACAACTAGTTAATGCTGCAGTCTCTGAAAAGCAGCTTTTTACTTTGGGACATAGAATGAATAGAATGTCAAAGAAGTTCCATTCTCTCATTATTAAATAAAACCCATGTAAGCTATGTAGAATCTTTTGAGTTTTTGCTGCTCTTCAGGATAACTATCATCCTTTAATCTCTCTCTCTCTCTCTCTCTCTCTCAATCTTTTCCCACATATACTCTGTCTCTGTGTGTGTGTGTGTGTCTGTCTGTGTCTCTCTGTGTGAATCATTTTCTGTCCTGTGTGTCAGACACTGGAATTCTTAAATTCTTGCCAGTTGGCTGATGGCACAGTCTGGAATCATGGCTCACTGAATGTGGGAAATGGGGCTTTGAAGAAACGTCAGGTTTTTTTTTAAATGGTGCGGGCAGACTTCTGACAAGGGCCAGTAATATCAAGTATATAACACCTTCCCTGCAACAGTTTCACTGGCCTATTTCAAGGCATCCTTCAAAACCTCTAAACCCTATACAGCCTTGGTCCTAGCTATCTAAAGGATCATCTTCCCCCAAGCGGGACATGAGTTCTGATGGAGAAAAGTTCTTGCAGCCCCATCACCTTAAGAGACCCATCTGGTGGGTCTTCAGCAGTTCCTTCTCTGTGCTTTGGTCTAGGTTTTGCAACTCCTTGTTGCTTATGTGAGTAATTTCTCCTCCCTTTTGTGGTAATAGATACCACTGAACAGGAGGGTCAGCCAGAAGGTAGATTCCCTGTCTTATATATATATCTGTGAACAGCTCAGCCAGAATTAGCAGTTCACAGACCTGCTACTTCATATCACTAATGCTAGAAGCAATTTTCCAAATTCTGAGGCAGAGGCTATTCCCAGTCTCCTGCCCAAATTCATGGAGATACTGGGGTAGGATTTAGAGAAGCTTTAAAAAGAGAAAATATTCTACCTCCACATATGGCTTTGTTCTATCAGTACGGTGGTCCCCAATCTTGGATCCCCAAATGTTTTTTAGACTACAACTCCCGAAATCCTGGCCAGAAAAGCTAGTGGTGACGGCTTCTGGGAGTTTTAGTCCAAGGTTTGGAACCACTGCCACAGTATTTCATCTTTTGTTGCTTTGGGCAACATCCATTGACAATTTGGAAGCGTGAAGTACAGCACAGATCATATCCTTTGCCACCAGTGTCCTGCACAAAGAAGACAAATTGTCCACAAAATAAGTAGTGAACATAAATCTGATATCAAAAATGGCAACACAAAAAAACATGATTCAGAACATTTCAAAGTACCTG